TTATGAGGGATGCATTGAAAGGCAAATATGTCCAAGATATTTTTTGCAGAGAGATATATCTAGATCGTTGAAAGGCAAAGGAAAGAGAGACGAGGGAAAATAATGGAACAGTAGAGATTGGTTCTGAAGGTTTCAGTTTGCAGGTAAGAATTGACATTATACCAACACATAAGAGAAAAAAATACATGAATTGCTGTACTCTCGAGGATGAATTGCTGCACTCTCTGAGGACTCTTTTTTTCTCTCTCTCTAGCCAAGTAGTTCAGAGTTCAAACACTAATTTGTTGGTACAGAAAATGTTACCTAGATGTTTGCCGAGCCGTGAAAGTGCTTAACTCAATTATCAACCGGTATATTATCAGTGCTTAATAACAAATGGCTGGACTAATGGCTACCGTCTCTTAGTCTCTCGCGCGTATGACGATTATTAAAACTAAAACTGTGCACTGCCACATATTGAAATTGTGCACTATGCATCTCTGAATATAACTGAAACTCTGAATCTCTACTAAGAAGGCTAGGATTTCTGAATGTCTGAATATAAATGAAACCGTGCACTATGTATCTCTGAATATAATTGTAAAAAGGCTAGGATTAAAACTGTAAGAAGTATGAATGTCCCTGGCACCATGTATAGATATGCCTGGCTGCATGCAAAAATTCCCTCATCGAAGCCTCCACTCCTGCCTTTCCGTCTGTTGTCAGACATGCTACAGGAACCAGACATTCCTTGCGTTTCCTCACAGACGGTCCCAGAGCAGCCAGAAGAAGCTGAAAATTTTGAACCCAAACATCATATAAGAGATAGATGAAATATATATACTGTCACCATGCACCATACAGAAGAACTTGCGGCTTTCGCTATAAAATTCTGCAACAAGTTGGTACTCACAAAACTAATAACTGAATCTGGAACCAAAAAGGGACAATGTCATGTTAACTGAAACTGAACATATTGTGTTAACTGAAACTGGAACCAAACAGGGCACAATATTGTTTATATATATTCAAATAATTCATTTGATGGAAGAGGAAGAGGTCGATTATTGGATGGTTGAATCTGTCTTATTCGAGGGCAAAAAAACTTGCAGTCTACCATCTGAAACAAGTTATGCTGATAATAAATTATCATATGAACCTCTGAGCTATATACTGCATTAATCGACCCCACCCAAATAAGCTTAGCAGCGCATACTATAGCCATCTATGAGAAAGTTAAGATTGCAAGTTTCACCGCTGTTGTCGGACTGCATGCAGAACGGCCTCTTCCTCTTCCATTTCTTCAGAGTCAAATGAACCTGAAAGTTTGGAAATCAATATCGTATAAGAGACAAGTAGGACTCGATGCTAAAAAAAAAAAAGCATCAAGCGATACACCAGCGATATTTATTCTTACGAGGACTTATAAAATGGTCTCGAGTATACACACCGGCCATTCACCAATTTAGGACATCTTTGTAAACTATATTCTTGGTGCTCTTCCCCAGTGGGATCTAATTCCTCTTTTGGTTTTGCTAGAATTCTTGTTGTTGATCTTGACACCCCCCTTGATAAACCAACATAAAGTTGTCCATGCGAGAACACGGGCTCTGGAAGGTAGATCCCAACGTTTGGGATGGTCTGTCCCTGCGATTTATTTATTGTCATGGCAAAACTTAACCTCACTGGGAATTGTTTTCTCTTGAACTTGAAAGGAAGAGAAATATCATCTGAGGGAGACAATGGTAGCCTTGGTATGAAAACTCTTTTCCGCACATGCTGACCACCAATGATCTCAGCATCAATTGCATTGTCTTGCAATGCTCTAACCATAAGCCTGGTTCCATTGCACAACCCATTGTTAGGATCAAGATTGCGGAGAAGAATCACAGGACAGTTGATTTTTAGCTTCAGCTCATGCGGGGGGAGGCCATTTGGAGTTATTGAGTTCAAAAAATCAATAGGGGAAGTGATTCGAAGGATCATCAACAACAGTGTCAAAGCTGTGGTAAACTTTTTCCTTACCTGGAAACCTTTCAATCATCATTGCGTTCAGCCTATCAACATGCTCATTTTTTGTCGATAGAATGGCCCGTTCACTCATATAGGCGGCTCATGTCGCATGCTCTCCAAGTGATGGGAACACCGAGGAAATGAGTGTATTGACTGCCACATCCGTGTCAGTATATCCAATCGCAATGTCATCAGGAAGTCGAACATAATCATCTCTAATCGTTTCCTCGGTTTCGTTTCCAATACGTAGCAGGTACTCAGAAAACCAAGGGTCTGACTGTGCTCTCATGTTTTGTGACAATTGTATCTTTCTTATTTTATCCCACAAATAGGATCTTTGCAAGGTAGCATCAGTTATCTGTGCTCTTGTCCCACGTGGCACCACAGGAAGGACCTGTCTAAAGTCTCCACCAAATACCATGACCTTTCCTCCAAATGGCAAAGCACATTCCATGATATCCTGTAGGGACCTATCTAGTGTCTCGACGCACTGACGCTTGGTCATGGCAACTTCATCCCAAATAATCAAAGACGCCCTACGAAGCAATTCTGCAGTGCCACTTTGCTTTGTAAAGTTGCACATGGTGTTGTCCCCAATTTTAATTGGAATTTTAAACCTGGAGTGTGCAGTGCGTCCTCCGGGCAATATTGATGCTGCTATACCAGAGGTGGCTGTTGCGATGGCTATTAATCCTTTGGAACGAACTTTAGCCAGGAGCGCCTTGTATAGGAATGTCTTTCCTGTGCCTCCCGGACCATCAACAAAAAAAACTTGGCTCTTTTTGGCAAAGACATGCTGCATGATTTCATCAAACCCTTCTCTCTGCTCCTTGTTAAGAGAATCAAAAATATCTAGGTGTTCTTGGTCAACAGGGACATTCTGCTCCTCTCTAACCTCTTTCATCATGTCAATGGAGGTTGGCCCCATATCGCAAATAGGTGGCAGACCATATTCTCTGATATCTTTGCCCATCGAGTGAAGCATATCCCGTATGTCCCTAAGCACCATTTGCCCCACTGTCGACGTGTTGCTATTGTCCCGGCTAAAGTCTTCACTTAACGCATCCTTATGCTTGTCCCATAGTTCACGTATGTTAGTGGCCTCGCCGAACACAAGCATTGTAGCAAACAACCTCCACAAGGCACACGGCATCCGGAAAGTGGTGGCCTCGACAAGCAATGCGTCAATTGATCTATCTCGTCTCAATAAGCCCTCTTTTCTCACATGCCTCCCTAAAAGTAGAGTATGTTACACCAGCCACTGTTCTTAGATCCTCAAATGATGCTGCACCTCTCACATGATTTAGTAGTACTCTTAGGAAGTATCTCTCCCCTTCAGCAGGGTTAGCATAGACAATCCGCCCTATCTCAGGTCTTTCGACGCTTGTTTTCTTCCTTGCCACACTTTTTTCCCTGCGATCCATCGGTAGTGTTCGAAAATTCTATATAATATTTTCCTTGCTGCCCTTTCTTCACGGTTTTTACTAAAATACTCCGTCGTTGTTGTCCTATTAGAAGCCGGGCGACTCACAACATCCTCCAGGTTTTCGTCATCATTGTATGTCACAGACTGCATATTAGGCAAATGTAGCTGGAGCTGCAATACTGACGGATAAATTCCAAACATTGGGAATCCGAAGATCCTGTACACAGCTTCCGTGGAGAAATGTACCTAGCATTCCTATACTGTTGTATCTCATTGATGACACCATCATCCCTATCATTTTGGTCTGCATTTACCGAGAATGATGCTTGGTCGTCATTTTATATACGTATTTAAATAGATACTTCATCGCTTTAATGCTTGCGCATGCCTCAACATTTATGTGACAGTTGTATCTAAAGAGTAGACCAGGGGTTGTATGGCACCACCCACCTGTTATCTAACTCGCTCTCCTGATCCCGACTCGTCATCCCGTCATCCCTTCTCCAATAGGTTGGATAGGAGTCCTTTCCTTGTTGGGTCGCCTCTCACGTAATCGTTGTAGGGTATTGAAAGTGACACTCTCCATTTACCATGCATGCACAAGTGTTTGTTTAGGACGCCACATGGGCCATGAAGCATATGGTGATAACCCAGATCATGCAACTCGGGTATTTGTCCTTGTCTGTATCTCTGCCAAATAACTTTCGATCATATGCATCTGGGGTTGTCAACTTACTCCTGATTTCATGATCGACAATAAATGCTCATGTGGCGGACCCTTTTACGAACTTCGGTAACATGAGCGTCTGCTGCAACTTCACCAAAATACTTCCTCTTGATTAGAGTCTCCTTCAGATCACGCAACTTTGCCTCACACTCTTGCAACCAGTTCGCCTATCTTGTGGGTCCCGCCTCGGTTCGAGATTGCTTGTTATCTCTTCCCAAAGAGGGATTGCATGTCATGGTGATGAAGTAATCAGGCTTTCCAAAACGCTGAACAATAGCCATAGCATTAAGGAATCTTTCTTTGCATGTCTCGATCGCATCCTCGGGAATGATCTTGGCAAAGACAATTCTCTTGCCAACCTTAGAACCTTGTGTCTCTCCAGCAGAGATAACATCAACAAGTCCCTAAAATACATTTAAGCACTTACTTTTAGCGAAAGGCAGTAACAAGGTTGCAAAGTTCATGAAAAACAATTATATAAATAAACAATATAATATGAGTTGTTACCTGGTATAGCTCCACCCGTATTAGTTTTTGGTGCTCAGGATTAGAGTACCAATCTAGCCTCATAGACTCAATCTTTATATACATATCCACAGCCCACTGCTGGAAAAGACGTCCTCCGAATAATAAAATGTTAAAAAGTCCCCGCCTAACTTGCAACTTGAAGCAGTAGTATTCTCGCAGCGAGTTACATATTTTTATGGATTGTGCTTTGCATCTGCAACTCCAGCTAGCACGTCACCTTCTTGCACATCATTGTCGCCTTCTTCCACATGATTTTCGTTGTTATTATCAGCTGCAAGATACACAAAACATTAGATATAATGTTATAATTAGTATTATAGTATCGAATCAGTAGTACCAGTATAATAGCAAAAAAATATTATAGCAAATAATATCATGATTACCACCAGTAGTCCCTTCAGCTCTACCATTAGCACTATTAGTAGAAGCCATGGTTGCAGATGGTGGAGTGAATGGATCCTCACTGTACGGCATAAATTTGTTCCATCCTATTTCCCCTCGTGGGTTATATACAGGATAAGCTAAGGCATCATAACAACCATGCCATGCTCGGATATACTGCGGACGACGATCGGTCTTTCCATATACAACCACACTTCTATCAAAACATCTCTGTGGATCGTTCCCATCCATCCAAATAGCAGCAACTTGGGATGCCGTTGGGGCATTGTACCTTCTTTGGTCAGGCGTGACATTTGTATTGAGTTCAATCTTGTACTCATCCAAGTTTGGAAAATCCCCATTTCTCCTAAAAGTATGACATATGGGTTATCTTGAAAGATTGCTAGGATAGTCCGAATGATGTTGATATCAAGATCAGGGGACCTTTTGACTCTATGTGATAAGGCCTCATCTTCTATATCATAAAAGTAGAGCTGCAAATGCCGAGCACCGCGGCCACCTGGCACCAGGTGGTCAAGACGGTGGTACAACATACCATGCACTCGAAATGTATAAACACCGGTCCGTGCTGGACTTTTATATCTGTCGTCAGTGGTAACCCCTAGACTTGCAAAGGCGAAATGTGAGTTGATATAACGTATATGTTTTCTGAAATATTTTGCATCATCGTGCACTTGACTTGTGAACAACCTTTTGAGCTCTGCAGGAACATCTGGTATATGTATCTGTACTTTTCCTTTTCTACAACAAAACCCGGGTGTCTCACCCTGAAACCTCATCGCACCACAGTAACTGCAGTCAGGGACCTTTCTCAATTTATGTCGTTCTGGCAGGTTCTGGTAGATGTAGTCATATGGATCGTCATGTGTCACACTGTTTGCAGCTGGACCCTCTGGAGGCACGCGATATGACTCATAATCATGACCTGTGTGGACATTGTAGTAATTACTTTCACTTAATATATAAATATTTGGTAAAATGAAGCTGCATTTATAACCAGTAGGGATAGATGTTGTCGTAATACCTTGCGCATGTCGGTGAATGACCCCATCATCATCGTATAAGTTTTCATTGTGCAATCCATGGCCACCGTCCATGGCATCTTCATCACTGTCCCAACCATCATGCGCTGGTTCAAATAGTTCACGGTCGAATTCTTCTTCATTGGATTGGACATGTACATGGTTGTTGCGTAGCTCAGGTATTTGTCTTTCTGCATAGTAGATATTTAATATTTTTATTTTAATATTAAGTAATATAAGCAAAGTAGGAAATAAAATATATAATAGCAAAAAATGTTGTGGCTGATGACCAGACCTGCCTCGCCGGAAGTAGGTGGGGCTCTACGCGCTGGAACATAATTATCATTTCTGTGTAACCAATCCATAGGCTCTGCTAACTCGCTGGTTTCCATTATTGTCGCTAATCCAGCGCTCAAATTCGCACCTTGAGATATGAATATAAACAAAGGTTCATGATATATCAAGTGGTGGATGAAATCCTTATGGTCTCGGATATTACTAACCTGCCAGCGAGGACGATGGCACTATTTGGTTGATAGCAGCTGGTGTGCTGTTATTTTGCAATTGAGCCTTCTGCCATGCTCGATATTGACGTTGGTACTCACGTTGTCTCCTTTTATTCTCTTCTCTCTGCTCATCGGTCATCTCTGCTCTTCTCTTTCGTTGTTGCGCGTTTCTTTCGCCCATCGTATGGTTACTAATATCTGCAGGGTCACGTTTGTGAGATTACAAAAATTAAATAATGAGACTCTTTCACATAATAAACACATATCTAATCTTTACCGCTAGCCACTGATAGAGCAGTGCCTATTGCCGTTGAGGTGCCAATGCCACCATGGCTATGATTCCCATGTGCGGTTGGTTGGATATTTTCCTTGTCCAGTATAATTGGCGAGTTTTGGTCTATCTGAGAACGATTAGTACCTGCATTTTTTTGGTCCATCTCATAACGTTGGTTTGAGTATATTAAGAGCCTGAGTAATAATAAACTAAGCAAAGAAAAATTATACCGGGTGCAGTCAAAACACAAGAAGCGCTATTGTTTTGGGACTCGGCCTTCTTCCGTTCTCGGTAGTGACGTTGGTACTCACGTTGTTTCCTCCTCATCTCCTCCCTTTGTTCGTCGGTCATTTCAGCTCGCCGAATTCGTTGCTGCAAGTTCCTTTGTTCCCTAGTCCGCCGGGCCTCATCTATATGGTCACAACACATGAAATCAATTAGCCAACCCAAAGTTATATATTACTCCATCGGTCTCTGTAAAAATCAATTGGTAGAGTTATTGTAAGTCAAACTTTTTAAACTCTGATCGAATGTCTAGAAAAGAGCATTAAGATTTATGGTACCAAATTAATACCAAATTAATACAATGTAAAATCATACCTGTGATGTTGGTGATGTCGCTTAGTGGATCGTGTGTATCTCTTGACGTAGACATTTAGTTAATGTATCACAAGCAGTCTGTGATGACGCAGGACCTTTGATTTTTATTTAGAGTACCTATTACAAATGGATAGTCAATGTCAGCACAAAATCTCAGAAAACCAGAAATCAATTGTTCTCAAATTATTTGTGACCAATCCATCAACAAATGTGATAGGCGACAGCAAGATTTCTGATAGTATCGCAAGGAAGCCAGTAAACTTTAGCAGCACAGTGCCATGCACCAGTCCATGCACGCACACACGCATGTTCACCTGGCTGGCACCAGTACGCACACACGCACGCTCACCTGGCGATGGAGACGGTCCATGGCGTGACGAGCTGCTCCTCGGTGCTGCTGTCCTCGCCATATGTAGGTGTCTTCGACGGTTGCTGGGCTGTGAGCGGCGTTCGTCGTGGGCACCGTGACCTTGTCGACTGGAGAAGTGCCCTCGCGAACGGACTGTAGCCTCTTGCCGACGCCTGATCTGAATGCCAGGCTCGGCAGGTCTCGCCGCGGCATTCGCGGCACTGGTTCTGTGTCCTGGTCGCCGCGTACGCCGTCGTCGTCCGCCGTCGTTTGCGGGTCTGACGGAGCTGTGCTGTTCGACAGTTGGGTTACCACTTGAGATGAGCATTAAGAAATGAAAACTGAGGTATGCACATTGACTCGATGAAGCATGCTGATTTGAAAGCATGAATACGCTCCATGATGTTCGGCTTTACTCCCGCATTCCATCATGTGTGGTCCTTGAAATTTCAGTACAATTATGTATGTATGACAGCCATTGTTTAGGGTTATCCTGTATCACTATTTAAAAGCCTAGTCTATTGAATATTTTTCATCTCATGAGTCCTACATGTCTTGATAAATTGTGAATACGTTCTTCCTTAGGAATGAACTTGATGTATCTTTTGAAATTTATATGGAGTCTCTTTTTATTTATAGCATGAATACTGGTTATTTAGTTCTCAGAACTGAAATTGCCTGCTATGCTTCTTGTGAAAATTCTCATCTAGTTAACATCTTTTCCTCGACCAGTAAGGTTAGAGGATGTGCTTGTATGATCTATTTGTTCTTGGTGAGGAACTGACATTTTTTCTCAAACACGCAGAACAGTTGTATGCCTTTAGGCATCAAACTCTATGGCATGAAAGGTGAATGGTATCAATGTGTTCATGTGTTAAAGCTATCTGAGACTCTGAGTGAATCCTTTCTCTATATAATGGAAATAATGTGAGTGAAATAGTATCAGTAATTCTGAAGTCTGAACACATAATATTCATTTTAGTTTTCTCTGTTTATTTCTCTCCATGTCATGAGTTAGACAGAAAAGCAAAATCATTAACTTTAGCTTCTCATGTTTCATTAACAATGAATTTCAAAACATCCTGAATAAAAAGGGAGTGAGGGCAAACCTGGATATTTTTGGTGCTTCCTCTACAATGTCGCAGCGAGGAGAGAAGCACAGCGTCTGTCACGTCGGGGACACGAAGATGAGGACAGGGCCACGTCCTTTCGTCGAGGACTCTGTCAGTGGACCTTCTCCTTCTCAGTACGGGTGGTGGCGGCGCGGCTTCGTGGCACGGACGGAGAGGATGCGGCGGCGTGGGAGAACGCAGGGCGAGGATGACGGCGTGGGCGAGCGTAGGGCGAGGACGATGGCGTGTGCGCAAACCTCGATGGCCCTTTCCCCTTCTCGGTGATCTGTCAGCCACGGATCGGGGCGGATCGCAGACATAATACATGTACACACATCTAATTAGATCAGACTGGAATACAAATAGCCAATTATCTTAAGGATTCGGTGCTTGGTTTCGCACATCAGGAAGCGATTGGCACACCTGGTGATTAGTTTGGGTATGGTGTTCGGTTTTGCACAGCAGGAAGGCATTGGCACACCTGCATCGGTGCGTCGGGTCGGCAGCGGGCGTTCATGGAGGCGGCGGCGTCCGGCGGTGTTGCTCGTGACGGCGGAGCGAGAGAGAGGGCAAGGTCTGCGGTATCGCAGGCTATGGGCACGGACGTGCGATGGAGGCGAGCCATGGTAATGGGGGAAGGGAGCTGGGGGTGCGGTGAGGGGGTGTGAGAAGCCTCCATCAAACATCGTTTCTGGGCCTTTGGATTTGACGTAGATCTATTATGAACCCTTTGATTTTGATAGAGACAAGTTTTCAATTATAGTGGAGATGCTTTCCCTATGATAGGTTGTTCACAAGTGATAGGAAAAATAAAGACTAAAGAATAATATGTGTGCTAAGTATAGAAGGACATATACCTCATATCTGTATGTACGCTCCTCCATTATGAGCCGATAAGTGCCTCTGCTTGGGACCAATTTTATATAATGATGTTTTCACTAGTGCGCTTATCGGCTGCTGCATTTGGGGTCCTCGTATGCCTCTACAGTGCTGCTATATAGAGAACTGAAAATAGGACCGATTATTATGACGTGTAGCAACACACCTTGCTCACGTGATGACTGAAGACTTTCCCACGTGTGCTCCTTCTGTTAAATTAACTCAATCTCACCTTAGGCAGGAACATGGCGTGCATGGAGATATTTAATAGACTTATTGGCCATTGGATAGCCGATTGATCTATCGGCTTTCCTACAGTGCAAGCAAGGGGTCCGGTCAGCCTTTATATCTTTGCCTAGGTAATAGCCGATTGTCCAGCTGATGATCAGCTTCCAATTTTAGATATGTTCCGTCGGCTTTACCAGCACCTTCACTAGGCCTTCAAAGTGAAGCCTTTCAAAACTTGTTTGTGCTGATGGCTTCAAAAATCACTGTCGACGAATATACTAATGGCCGATGTTTTTCCCATATGTCTTCCATTAGCGGCCCTATTATCCTCGCTAATTTTCATATCATTCTGATTATCATCCTTCTTCACATCGGCCTTGTACTCTTCATGTAGCATGCATGTCCTCCATGCCAATTAATCTAGTATCCTTCTCTGTATGCAAACTTGATTGACGATTGCTGGTAGCTAGCTGCATGAGGTCGTCTTGATTTATGCATGCGTGCACACAAGGCAAATGGCTCTTTGCCCGTAGAGGTGAGGCAGGTACGGCCGCCGCAGGGTGGATCCGACGCGGATGGGCCATGTGACTGGCCGTAGGGCTCCAGATGGATATGCAGTATGTATGTGTGCCTCTACCTCATCGTGTTCGGCACCAGCAGCTTCAAGTCGTGTCTTCAGCCTTGAAAATTTGACGAGTGCGCTGCTATGGGCATCTTCTTCAGCTGCTTCTTCATAAGCATTGGCACACTCCTCGCTGTTACTTTCTTCGTCTATGTCCAGGACCATGTCAGCCAGAGCCGGGCCTATGGTATTGGCATCTGCGGCATCTGCACCGGCTCCATGCTTATTGCCATCAAGTCTTCGTCTTAAGTACCAGTGGATACCGCTACAAGCACAGCTCCAAGAGTTCTGTCATGTACGATGTCCGACGCGTTTCGGACTACGTCTGTCGTGTCGTTTAATGCCGATGCCCTCCTTGCTGGCGCGTCGCTCACACCATCGCCGGTCATGCCATAGACGTGCTTCTGGTACTGCAGCCGCTTCATGTGAATAGTAGCCGATAAGCCGATACACATAGAGGACTTATTCTATTGGTCCATCGGCTATTTCCTTGATGACAATAAAACAACTCCAGAAAACATTGAAATAGCTCCATTGGTCTGTCGGCCGATACTTCGCACTCGAGAAAACAATAAAATAGCTCCATTGGTCTGTCGGCCAGTACTTCAGTCCATCAGATACTTTATTTGGTATTGAAATAACCCATCCATCGATCAATATTTCATTGTCGGAGTAGGGGCAGCCGATTCTACTTTATATAAGGTTATCGGCGCAGAGCGTTCACCAGAGGAATGCCTTGATAAGATGACAATGTCTTCAGCCCATGATAGAACTAAGGCTATTTAATTCATCATCGCTTCGTATTTCTGAAACCATCAGCTTTATTTTAATGCATGCTACAACATCATGGCCGAACCATTTATATTCTTGGCTACAATTTGCTAGACCTATTACCAAGAAAAGTAAGAATCGGCCCTTTTTTCCTCCTTTAGAACCATGTAGTAAGCCAAATATTCTGATCTTCCATCTCTTTTGAATCACGACCGAATTCCTCTCCACAAGATACTGGTGCATACTGCCCTTCTGGCTTTAAAAATAATCAGTTGCTTCTGAGTCAACTCGACAAATGCTGCATCCTGGGATTCTGACATCTGCTACTTAAAATTATTCAGCCGATGGTAGAGTAATGCAATTGGAAAAAATATCTCCTCAGCTTATCAGCTATTTTCAGTTTGCTCGACTTTATCAGCCCACTTGACCTTTCTGAATTCTTCTTCTGATAGTATACGCGAGTCAACTGCTCCTGACTCCTCATCCTTCCTTGACCTGGGCACTGTAGGCGGTGTCATGAACTGATATGTTGGGAGTTATCTTGCTTTCCAACGCCGCCTTCCATACATGTGTAGTCCTTCCTTATTTTTGACTAACACGTTCCAAACGTGCACATGCAGTAGATGAAGCACTTGGACTTTTGACCCTTGGTCGCTTAGTATATCAGCTCGAGGAGTAGACATGCCATGCGAAACTGCCGATGCAACTGGAGCATCAGATCCTTGAGTCTCATGGAGTCAATGTCCACAGCCGATTCTATTTCAGGAGAGACTATTGACATGTATATGGAACCAATTCGTCGATAACGTATATGCAACCAATCTGCCAGCCACGTATATACACATATATCTTCTATATGCCAACTTGATCCTGATTCCAGCCCGCTTCCTTCGGCAACATGTCAATAACAACTCGACTGATCGCGGCGGCGTCCTTCGGCAACCACGACGACCTACAACAAGGACCTGACGCCGCAACGCATCTCGCGGGTGTGAGCAGATCGACTCGACAAGTGCGCATGTCGCACCCGACCACGATCGATCATGGATCTGCACCGACGACACTTATCATTGACCAATCAAGGAGGCCCGACGTGGGTTCAATCTACAGAGTCATGCTCTGGCCGCGTGATGGGCCCAGGCATCACAGCCATGCACCGGATCGGAGTCAACCATCGACAGCATGCAAGATCTGAAAAGCTCTAGTTAATTCCGGCTTTGCATGCAGCAAGGACGCGTGATCTACCCAAGCCATGCAAAGCTAACAAGATACGTAGCATGTATATACGTATATACATCTGCACGGAAGGAAGCAAAGCAACTACACGTGAGGTCTACTTGCACGTATCCATCATCATGGAGCCAAATACGACGACTCCAACAGCGAGCGGTCTCAGCCAGAGGCGAGCCACGCCGAGCCATCTAGTGAGCCATGTCGAGCCAAGTGAGCCGCTGAGGGAGCCGCGTCGAGCCCCATCAAGCCAAGCCAGCCGCTGAGCGAGCCGCGTCGAGCCACGTCGACCACGGGCCACGTCAACCACGTCCCGAGCGGCTCCCCCGAGCTCACGTCGACCACGAACCACGTCAACCACGTCCCGAGCG